TTTTTTGATATTTTGATTTACCTTTAGCGACGTCATCATTTTATGGGTATATAAATTTATGTGGCTAAAACTTGGTGCACTATTTGAGTATATACATTCCAGAATGGATATATTCATGTTCTTGACTTGAAATTCGCTCGGTCTTTATTTGCATAAAGGTGTTTGAAATCAGTATGAACGGGGCTAATTTGACTTCATTTCATACTGAACTAGTCGATATGAAAGGTACACGAACCTTCTATTATTTTTTGAAATGAATGTAGATACATATCTTCTTGCTGTAAATTATATAAGCAATTGCTCTTAAAGTCTAATGTCGTAGTATTATTTTATTGAACAGTATATCATCTGAATATTAACAAATCTTTTATTTGTGGAATTTCAGAAATCCACTTACATTGGAAGCATAAATAAACAATATTAGTCCAGCAGTAATTTTAAGCTAACAACAGATACTTATGGTGAAATAATGTGAACCTTTAGAAAGTGAATTGTAAGACATATTGCGCTAAAAACAATGGAGAGACCACAAATCAACTTAAAAACTATGATTTTCTATCATTTTTGGAGAATTTTTTTCCTTTAATTTGTATGATTAACTGCAATTGGTATCCTCGTTTGCACATGCTTCTCCAAAATTTATGATTTCATTCTCTCTTGCATGGAAAATTGTGAATATTATGACTAATAAATTTAAAAAAAGTAAGTATTAAAGGACAAAAGAAGTACCTGGAAATGTTGTATACAAACATCTTCCGTTCTGTGTGTGTGTGTGTGTGTCTTTTTTTTTTTTTTTTCTCCTTTGATGAAGTATGTACATTTTTAGTTGATGAATGAAGTGCTGTTGTCCCATGAAGCTGGAACTGGTGAGGAAGCAAGTTAAGTCATACTTTTATTGTGTGTGTAAATTAAGTCATACGTTTATTGTGTGTGTAAGTTAAGTCATACGTTTATTTTGTGTTGTTCACTAATTGTATCCTAGAAAGTAAGTTAAGTCTTTAAGCAGCGTGACTGATTTCTAATTTTCTTTTCCTTTTTTTTGAATTTCAAAAGAATGTTATGATAAAAGATTGTATACTTTCGCTTGAAAAGATTAGAGATGATTGAAATTTCCACCATGGTACCAAAAAAAAAAAAGTAGCCAAAAACCAAGAAGTTTTAAACTGCTTTACACAGAGTAAGTAAACAAACTACACGGGTCCAATATTAATGAAAAATTAATCCATTAATATTAATCAATTAGTGGGCGCCACACAAGAGAGAGAAAGCATGCATGTAACTAAAACTCTGGATGTGTGTGTATATGTGTATATATACACACACACATACATCAATTTATTTATATACTACTAGGAGTGGGCTGTGCATAAGCGCCCATTGGAATTAATTCATTGGTAATAATTGATGAAACAAAGCTTTGTAGTAGTTGTAGTTATATTTTTCATAGGAAATAATAAGTTGTTTTGTTGAATTTATTAGTAATTGCATTGTATAGAAGCAAATTCACACTTGTCTCTTTTTGTTTAACTTGTAAATACAAATGTGTATTGTTGGAAAAATATATTGATTTCTATAAATTTTACAATGTTTTTGGTTTTAATTATGTTGTATTAGTAATAAGTTATTGAAGGAGAAGCTACACACCTTGTGATCTCTATTTTACGAAAATTACTGGGAAGGAAGCTATGAGAACAAATAAAATGAATAAAAGCTTTTGAGCTTTAATCTACTTTGTCAAATGTAGCCTCTTGATTTATTGTTGTCAAAATTTTCATCTAAAAATTAGTCAATGATAAGTAAACCATTCCATTAATTCATGATTCAATCTAATGGTAAATGTATGATGAAAGTACAAAGAACAATTAATCAAGGGGTTGAAATTTATATAAAGAATAGCCCAACTCTTAGGTAAATGGTAAACATCCAATCGTAACAAGTCATTGAAGGAAGTAAAACAGTGGGTTATGATTTGTAAAGATTATTTGTACAAGAAGAAAATGGAAACCAGGAATGATATATATTAAAAAAAACGGTCAACTGTTTTGAATTTTATCAAAATGGATGAGTAAGTTGTCTAACCATTAAACGATTACAAAAGGAAAGTAATCAACCACTACAAATCTAATGGTCCAAAGTTAAGCAAGAAATCAAAATTATTTTCAAAAAAGCAAAAAACCACAATAAATAAAAACCTTAAAATTTTCTTTGTGATTAAATACGGCTTGGCTAAAATAATTCTTAGACTGACTATTTCATTTTAATTATGTAAAATAAATTATATACATCTTCCCTAACACAACGCTTTATAGTCTTTTTGCAAAAAATATCATTTTTTTCCACATTCCTTTTTAAATATTTATTAGAGATATGATTTATACATCTCAATATTTTTCCCACACCATAAAAGTATATGCTTTATCATATTTTTTCCAATAAATCCCAAAAAAATAAAAACCTAAAAGATTCCTTTCTAAATGAATAAAGCTCATGATTAGCATATTTGTTTTTATTTTATGCCATTAGTTGAATAATCTTTTACCCAATTTGTTTGTAATATGAAAAATTTATCAATTTTTGTATCTCTTCTTGCCACTAATCCCAAAGGATAAGGAGAGTGTTTATAAAATTAAATAAAATTATAAATTGAAGCAGGCGATGAACTTATATATGCTTTGTAAATAATTAATCTAGCATTTAAACCCCTTGTCATGATGTGCCTACTCTCATTAGAAAAAAAAAATCAATTTTGGTATTTTATTTTCCCTCAAAATCAAAATAATTTTAAATTTCTATATAAAAAAAATAAGGTTGCATTCTAAATATTAACCTTGCATTTAAACTTAAATTTTTTATGTTTATACATTTATTCAAAGTAATAATTGATAAATTTATTTTTTGAATTATATATATTAATATCAAATATTTCTCAATTAATTATTTATTTTTGACTAAAGAGGTAATAAATAATCAGCTATTATGGACCTAAATGATCCTTGGGGAGGAGAAAAGCTTATATATCAGCTGATAGATTGCAATTTTATCATTTATTTTATTATTAATTTCTCCTATTACCTGACTTGATATGGATTAATTATTAGATTCTACTCACTTTTCGTAATTTGCATTTATTTCAGGGAGTAGAACGAAAATACCACAATCAATGCTAATTTGACAGTCATCAGGAAAGAATTCAAATAGGAAGTTGATATGTAAGGCAGTTGGGAAATTAAATCTTACGTGCGTACCTAGGATTATTCCCCAATTAGAGCATTGATTAACGGGCGTACCTTAATCATCGACACAGTAAGGAGGGGTTGACTGCCATCGTTTGTTTGGTAGTTATAACCTATTTATTGATAAATAATTGGGATTGCCTTTGCTTCGATGATCAATTAGGTGAACCATTGCTGAAGTTATTCCTTGGCTAGATCCTTAATTATCACTCATTAGATTTTAGTAAATTGTTATTTAATTTCTAGTTGGCTATTTTATTTTTATTATTTTACTTTTAGGTTGGATTGCTTAAATTGTCACTCCTGAGATAAAAACATCCCCCTTTGTCACTGTGAATTTAAAAAGAAACAATTACTCCCAGTCCCTGTGGATTCGACCCTGCTTACCACTATCTACAGAAATTAATTTTAGTTGAGCAGATTTTTATTATTGCACAGGTTTCGACAACCTGTCATCAGCATTGACTCAAAAGCATCAAAAGCAAAAGAAGGAAACAAAGAAAGCTCCTTATGCTTCTCATTGTGCCACGTAGCAGCTCTTGGAGTTGCTACAACAAAAATCAACTCGATCTAATATAATAGTTATATATATATATATATATATATATATATATATTCTTAAATTGGATCCATGTCGCATGTGCTGAGCATAGGCGCAGGCATATGTTTGTATGTGTACGGCTGCGCGTAGCTCAATTCCAACTCAGTTTACATTGAAATCAAGCCAATGTGTTAGACTGAAGCTCAATTTGTCTCACATCAAACCTATTTTTGCTGATGTTGGTGCATTTCAAGCTCAACTCAGACTGATATTGGCGTACAATTGTGGTCCAAGACAGAGCTTGGCTCACATTAAAATGAGGCTCAGCACAATATTCTTAGGTACAGGTGGTTTAGCTTAGTTTAGCTTGGCTCAGATACTCCTATATGTTCTTGCCCGGAAACTCCTCTCAGATTGGGGAAGTAAATCAGCACAGATCATCTAATTGTAACTTGACTTGGGGAAGGCTCGGTTGAATGGCAAAGAGGAAAGGGAATTTTTTTTTTTTAAAAAAAAAAAAAAATTGTAACTCATGTACTAAAAACTCATAAAATTTGGAGGACCGAGCTGCTGCCCTTCAGAAAATGTACACTGCTGTATTAGGACTAAAATTAAAAGTATTTCCTCAAAATTTTATATTTCATAAAAATGATTGTGGGTTAGTTTCCTTAAAAATAATTCATATTCAAAAAAGTGTAGACTACTTGTTCACTATATCACTCAAAATTTCCAAAACTAACCTTGTTTGGATTGCCCTTTTACTTCATAAAAATTTTACACTCTTCGTGAATCACCTTTTTACCTCACTAAGTTCCTGTTTCTCTTATATACCTGTACCAATCATTTGTTCAATAAAAGTTGTTCTTCTTTTTTCATTGTCTCTGTTTATCCATTGTCTTTTCAGATAAAAATGTCAACATTTCTCAGGTCCAAGTACAATGAATAGGCAAAACTGATTTTGTGTTGTGCCAGTACGCAAAACTACTTACTACCACCTAGTCTGGAATGTTACGAGAATCGTACTACTTTTCGAGATTAATTACAATTGAACTAGAAATTAAAGAAAGAATGTCAAAATTAATTTTACTGCACCAGCTGTGAGGATAGGCAAAATTAAGATTTTGTGTTCAGAAGGCAAAACTGATTTTGTGTTGTGCTAGCGTTTAGTGTGGACTAACTATCCATCTATTGCGTCAATTATTGAACTAGGAAGAGTACAGCTGAAATTTGTGCATCACCAAATTTTATTATTTCATGTATTTATATAGTAATAGTGCTTACAACACTAAAGATACAAGCATACCAAAATTATGAAGAGACACAAGTACAAGAAACAAATTCAGCAGTGACATATATACTTCTGTTTTTTACACCATAATAGATTAGTATATTCATACTTTAGTGACCACGTCAGGCTATTGATTTGAAAATCTTGAAAGTTTGCAAGGACTTGACAATACCTTGAACAGATCCGATCGCTGCTGCTATTGAGGTTAGCAGACAGCACATACTGAGAGTTTGCATCCACACCCACTTGAACGAGAAAATGGGTATTTTTTTCCTTTTAATACGCATCTTGATAGGAAAATATACTGTCAGCGGCCAGAATGAGAGAGCTCCAGTTAGTCCCACGATATCATTGAAAAATGGAAACATCATAGCTATGACCGTGGTTATTATGACATACGTCGTTCTCCAAATCATCCGGAAGAGGGTGGCTCTATAAACACCGTAACCAGGCATTTTAATGGCATATTCATGGTTAACCAATACGGTATTCGGCCATCTATGCCTTGTAAAACTTTCCACAAAACCAAAGACTGGTTGACCACATATCTGTAGAAGATTAATGCACGAGCATGAATTATTTAGGAGCAAAATTGGATACACTTTCTTAAAATTGTAGTAGGACTTCTAATTTGTAGCTTATAAGAAGAAATTTTACACTACATAAGTTTTTTTTTTTTCTACAACCATGTGCTCTATTAATAAACTTACAGCAATTGTAAAAAGAAAAGGGATAATTTCAGAAACCTTTCCTGAGATTTCTCATAATATCACTTAGCTCCCCTGAGGTTTTTAAAATCTCACTTGTCTCCCTTGGATTGACATTTCTTGTAACATTTTAACCCCTTTGGAGGAAATACAAGACAAATAAAACTTTTGTTCCAATACTACCCTTATGTTATCCTACTTATGAAATTTATAACAACAATAAAAAATAAAATAAGGTTAAATTTTTATAAAGTGTAAATTTCTTGACGTAAACTATTTATTTTAGTTATATTGGAACAAAAGCAAAATTTATGCCTTGAAAATTTCACAAGTATGAAGAGATTATTTTAGTTTTTAATACAACTTAAACTATACCATGGATTGAAACATATTTTTCCAAAAAATATCTTGACTTCCTTAACTGTAACTGTGCACAAAATTTTTTTAAGGTGTTAATTACTCACCAAAATCCTCTTAAGTGGTTGATCTTGATTAGATTTATTTTATCTCACTTACCAATTTATTTTTGTAATTTACGTTTTTTGGTTTTAAAATTTTATTTTGTTTTGGCTTGTTGGTTAAATAGTTATTAAGAGCAAGGGTAATGTTGTTAATTTGTGACCTTTGATAAGAATATTTAGTCTGGTTAAGTTGACAAGGAAGGTAAGTGAGATTTTAAAATTTTCAAGAGAGTTGAGTGATATTATGACAAATCTTAGGGGAGGTTTATAAAATTATCCCAAAAGAAAAGCTATAGTTTGAATCCCATAGTATAGTCCATCAAGTTATGCATATAACAGAGACATTTACATATGTTCGTAATCAAAAGAGATAAAGCCAGCTATAACTGCTACCCATAGCTTTGAAGTTAAACAAATATATGAAATAAAGCCCCATCTTTAGTTTGAACCTTTCAATAAAAACAGCCAATAAAGAGACCTCTAGTTTCAAACCTATAATCCATCATGTTATGCATATAACAAGAACTTTTACCACTACTGATAGTTAGAGAAATAAGGCCTACTAATACTGATATCCATTGTTAGGAAATTAAACAAACAAATCGCATTCATTGTTTACCTGGTAAGCTCCTGTGAGATGAATCACAACAAAAATATTAGCGAGGTCGATGAGCCAAAATGGCTCAAAGAAACCAAATCCAGCTAATATATTGCCTGGTGCTGTATCACCAAATGCTGCATATCCCAGCAACCCACATGACATATAAAATAAGGTGGATATAGAAATTCCAGCCAGGGAAGCTTGTTTCATTACTCTATTCTCACGTTTGGATGACCCTAGAGTGTCCTGCAAATTAATCAAAGTACAAAATTTAAGAAAACAAAAATCAATTACTTTTCTGTGATGCATATTGCAACATACTACACGGATATGGTTATTGATGCAAATGTTCAGTCAAAACAGTACCTGAATTTCAATAAGCACTTCTGAAAAACCATAAGCAAATGCTAAGTTCCCAAGGGCTGTAAATGCGGTCCATAAGTTGTTGGTATTTGACTTATCTCCATCAATGAACACTCCGGTCAAGCTAGTCTTAACATGTGGTCGTCCTTCGAAATGGAAGCCGAAAATTATATAAGTAGATGGTTTGAGATGATAGAAATTGATATAAAATATGTTACATTGCAAACTTTTAAGGAGTATTTTTTATTGCATTCAAGAATCAAAGTCAAATTGTGATCGTATACATCTACTATCAGTATGGATTTATATGATTGGTCAGTTTCATTTATTAATGAGTTGATTAACGTAGAACTAGATTTCAAGTGAAGTGTGATGGACAAATATTTTAACTTTTCATTCCTTCAAATCATAATAGAAGTTATCCAAATAGTGAATATGCACTTGAATAAAGTTGAAACCCAACTCAGATTCCATTACCTGAAAATCAAACATCCAACTAAACCTTTCAGTCAATTTTGGAGAACAAGTTTTAATTCTTTTCATTTAGACGTGATACATCTTTGGGTAAGATTACACATTTTATCCTAGCACATTTTCTTCATTCCAGTCTTATTTACCTTCAATGCGATCATGACCTCTATAGTTACCAAATAGACACAACGTAGATAACATACTAATGTAAGATACTAGATAGCATGTGACGCTCTTTGTATGTTTAAGTTTAAACTTGATAGAAGCTAATTCAATTTTATGAACTTGCAAATTACTCTCAAAATCAAAAAACAAAAGAAAATGTAATAATATTTCTGAGGTTGCGCAAATATGATTATGAACGATTTTTGAAATGTATAGTTTACAGTAATAAGAACACGGCTTTACTTCAGAAATTAGAATTTCATAAAGTAATAGGATGCTATCTTCGTTGACCATACATTGCTAACAACTAGAAAAACAGTAACCATAATAATGGAGCTTTTTGTTCTAGACTTGAGAATTGATTTTGAGACTCAAACACTGATTACGGATTGAATATAACAGAGTATGCACTAAGGAAAATGCTAAAGGATATAGCTTACTAGGCAAAAGTTTCATATGGAAAATCAGTGATTTTGATATATTAGAAGCAAGGCTTGTCAGTGGCTTGATGTTTGAATTTGGTTCAAGCACAAATGGAGAATATCTTGGTTTCAAATTCCACTTGTTAAAAAAAAGAAAATGCACCAAAACCTTACAAAAAGCATAAAGTCAGATCTTGATCATAGTCTATTCAACCTTTGTCAATTCAAGAGAACCTCATACATATCACCTAAAATTTATATACATTATTGGCCGTCTTGTCAAGTTTCTCCATTTTAAAATTTGTATACCACCTAAAAATTTTAATCCTAACAATCTTGTATAGATTCAATTATCTGTCTGCTCAAGCTTGCCAAGTAGATATTATATACAATCACAGACAAATTCAGATACTGACCTGCAACTTTAGCTATTGAGAGTCCGAGGCCAATGGAAGCATGGCAACAACACATCACTGTTGTGAGTAGGGACAGCATCGACAACTCTTGAATATTTGGAATTTGACTTAAAAATATTTGTATAACCCCGAAAATGATGATGAAGAGATTAATTGGCGTATGACAACCAAAAGAATGACCATGCTTGTGAAAGCAATATGATCTTTTGATAGCCCTAAGGAAAAAAAAACAGAGTATCTTAATCTGCATATACAGCTAGGATGATGCTTGAAGGAGAAACGTATAACTAGTATAATTTGTAGCAAAAAAATTCTTGGTGTGCTTACACCATACTGTTGGCCGATGTGATGATGTAACCAATAGTAAATCCAACAAGATTGCCATACTGAGCAATTCCACTGAGTTTGTTAGATCTTCCGCCTGTGCATGTACGAAAGTGGTAGTGACTAATCTTGTGCGTTAAACTATCAAACTTTGTAAGCCAATCCTTAGGCTGTAGCTTTAGGAATGATAAGCATTTCAGCAAATTAAAGGGTGAGAATGCTGAATAGCCAACATATAACTAGATAATCTAATCATTATAAGCCATATCCATGAAAGATCTTGATGAAAACGTAAGAAACCCAAAGTCGAATTGGTCCTTGAAGAATTTCTAACCTGACTTCTTTTAATATGATCTAAAGGTAATTAAAAAAGTAAATGATAAAAATAGTTACTAAACTATTTAGAATTCTACATTTTCGTCACTAAACTTTTTGTTATGCCAAAACAGCTATTTAACTTATAAAAGGGCATGATTTTTTGTTACTCAACTGACAAACTTTCACATTTAGTCACTCGACCCAAAAAAACATTTTTTTGGTCACAAAATGCATTTTCTAATTAGTTGAATGACCATTTTGACTAAATAAAAAGCTAAATAACTGAAAATAGGAATCCTGAATGGTTTACTGATAATTTTTGAAATTTTCTCCAAAAAAAAAAGAAAAAAAATTTAGATGAGGCAGAGTTATTTAACAAAGTGATATCCACTTAACAATCTCCTTACTGTGATTTTTTTTTTCCCCTCATGCAAACCTTCATGCTCAAATTGGCAATACACATTTCATTTTTGTTTGACAAAATAGTAGGATAATGGGCAATGATGAACAATTGATCTGATCTATCCTACAAAACATGGCCAAGGATCTCTTACCATTATCCTCGGTAGATTATTGAATTTTCTAATATTGTCAATTTATGAATATTGAGTGGGGTTACTAATGGCCATAAAACATGAAATCAAGTATACCAGGCACGTATCACATCATTTATATGATATTGAGATTCCTAAAGTTTATTTGATATACAAGTGCAGCGGTCGATGGCTGAAGTTTCCAAGATCTTTCTTGCAGTGCTGAGTGTCTACTCTAAGTTATATACAGATTATATTTCTTAATTCCTTTAACCACGTGATTTCAGAAACAGCAAATTTGAGGAACACTATGCTCGAGTTGGCAAGTGAGTTTTTTGGATATTTGTCTAAAATTTTAGTGTAGCTTACCGTGGAAGTTTTTAAAAAAAATTTTTGAAGTGTATTTTTTTTAATATTTTGCAGTGTATAATTTAAAATTTTTGAAAAGTTTTTTGAGGTTACTGTAACTAAAGTTTTTAAAAAATTTGTAGCAGACAAACTTAACAAAAAACTTGTCTGCCAAACAAGGCCATCGGATTAAAATTTTTTTTTAAGTGTTTCCAACAAATCTTTAAATATTTGAAACGCTGTATGCTAAATCACAGAGATAACATGTATTGATTATTTTGGCTCTCGGGAAAAAAAATTCTTTCTGTTGCTTTATAACCACAACCCCCAATTTGGTTCTCCGATTAACGTGATGAAGCCACTCCTGTGCTTTCAAAGACTGTGCTTAGCCCCTATGTTTTTTCACTTGCTTGCATCTAAAGTTAAGAGTTGTTTACATCTGATTTCAATAGACATATGAAATGTTCATTTTTGTTCCATCACCAGCGGTTTCTAGCTTATACCTAACCTGAACTTTGCACTGACTACAGTCATACTGTCCTAACTGTCAACTGATAGGAGGCTTATCCAGTCTTGCTTTCCTACTAAGAGGATCAGACTAGTTTCTCCATTTTCTTCCTTTCTTTTTCCATATTTTAAAGAAAATTTCGTGGCATAAATTGATGTAGGAGCTCTAGGGGAATCTTGGGAGTAATATCTGTTATTAGAATTTTCTTTCAACTTTTCTTGGTCGGCTTTTTTGACAGGTCAGTGTAAGTTTTAGAAATTAAATAGGTGCTTGGTGAAATTGTTTGAAACGTCCTTGAAGTTTCTGATATTATCCCTTAGTTTCATGTCCAACTGTAATAGGTTGCTCGATAAACATGTTAGAGAAGTTCACAAAAATGTACACTAGCACTTTTTGAAAATATCTATCTAGTTCTATAAACATTACTCTATCTTTATATGCATCAGGACATTCATTCGGAATCCAAAGACTTTTGTCTTATTTTATTATTTATAAGTAATGCTTACGGTTTTAAAACAATTAAACACTGGAATATTTTCAGGTGCCTCAATCAAATGTTTTGAATTTTCATAGTAGGAAACTAAAATGAAATAAATAACAACATCAAAATTGTGAGTATCAAATCCTTGGTATGCGGTGCAAAAATCAAACCAAGAAGAATATAGTTAGCGGTGGGAGTTGGTAGCTAATTTAGGGTCATTTAAAAGTAATATTCGTTTATGATAATATAATATGGTAATAATTATGAGTGTGTTTGGACAGGAGATTATTTACCAAAATTTATTTGCTTACATCATCATTACGATTTCCAACACACCTTTTTATCTTCCCAATTATCTTTTTATCTCACATATATTACATCACAAAAATTGCTACAGTAAAAATATCTCAAATAATTTACATGTTTGGGTCTTACAATTTGTATTAAAAGAGGTAGTTTTATGATAATTAATTTCAACTGATTATGTATTTAGCTCACGGTACTCTAAGGATAGCACTAACTTTCATAACAAAAAATGAAAAAAATTAAGAAAGATTTTGGCAAAAAAAAGACACGCATCCCCAGAAGTGATTTTGTGCATAAGTGATTATGAAGTAGTAGCAACAAATTGCTGAGAAATATTAACACTTGTCGAGTTGATGAACGTGGATACTAAGCCTTGGAAGATTGAGTTTGAGGGAATTTTCATATGATGAATTCTTGGCATTCCCTTGACATATTGACGCCTCAATTTACCTTTATATACTGCCTTTAGCCTAACCCCATTACAACCTTATAAAAGCTCCTTGGATTCTTGTATTAAATTTACTATTGGTGGTGGAGATATGATATATAAGCAAGCTCATAGTAATATCACTCCATGGTGTCGATTTGAGAGTTGTACTTTGCCCTATATAGTTTAGAGTGATGAGTGCACATGTTAAACCTCCTTGTGAGAATGGTTGGATTTGGTGCGTTCAGATTTTACTGAAATTGTGAGGATAGGATGCTTTTTGCCACAAAATTCTATCTTGATTGTATTTCTGAGTTTGGATATGCTTGAGGACAAGTATAATTTTGGAGGTCGGGATTGATAGGTTACATTTTTGTTAGTAATTTTATGATTGTTTTCTCTTTTATTTTACCAAATATTGCGTTAATTGATAGATTCTACTCATCTTTTATAATTAGTGTTGGTTATAAGAATTTGGAGCAAAAAGGGGATTAAAGATGTAATTCTCGCTGAACTTTTATACTATTCAGCGTGAGCGCGTCAAAGTCTAAACCATGCATGTCTGATAGAATAGATGTTCCATTGGATGGAGAGTTTTCTATTCCTACCAGGATATTAGTTTATTTATCTATTAGGATTTTTTTTCTTTTGGATAAGAGATATTGACTTGTTGGGAATTTGATTTCGTCTAGTAAGAGTAGCTTAATAGGAGTAGGAAACGAAGCAAGATACATTATCATCTATCTATTCTTTATCGTGAGGGAGGGAACATTAGCATGATTATTATTTTTCCTTCCCCCAAAGAAACAAAAGGAACGTCTTTCTTTTCTTTTCCTTCAACACTTTATCTCATATTCTTTGGAGAATGGTCTCGACAATTAGTTCAACTATTTTGCGTGTGGTTTTTTCCATGGAGATAAACTAATTTTCTCATTTTAGTCAAGAAGTAACGGAGGACTTAGTTCATCTAAAATTGTGAGATTAAATTAATTATATTTATTTCTTTTATTTACTAGTATTCGTATATTCTCTAATTTCATTTCTCATGATTGTTTTGTTGTTTGAATATCAAGTGGCCCTGATATTTAATTCAACTTAACAATCTAATGCCAATTAGGATAGTTAAATTTGTAATTATTTAATTTATCTTAAATTAGTGGTACCTAACGTGATTGGGTTCATATTGGAGAAACATATAATCTAATTTAAATAAACTTTGGTAGTGTGTTTATTGATTAGATCAAGGCTTTTTAGTTTTTAATATAATCAAGAAATTAAATTCTACGAACACCCCTAGGGTTGTTTCTTGGTTAGGGGAGTAGTTAATGGGCGTACCTTAACTATCGAGACGTTAAGGAAAAATTGGTTGTCATCGCGTGTTTGGCAACTATAACTTATTTATTAGCGAATAAATGAAATAATTATTGGATAGATGAGCAATTGTGTGAACCACATCTAAAGTTATATCCTTGGCTAGAACTTGTTTACTATTGATTTAAATTTAATTTATTTCAGTTTAATTATTTTTTTTACGATAATTATTTATTTTCAGTTTCAATTTTCCAAACCCCCCAATTAATTTTCATTTGAAAAGAAACAAATTTCTCCTAATCCTTGAGAAGAAGACCTTACTCACTGCTATAAGCAAATATTTTTGTTGAGTAAGTTTTATTATTGTACAGTCTCGACACCTATCACATAACATTCCTATCGTGCAGTAAGGATGGAGCTAAGATGGCATTTGGTAAAAGGGTTTCAGAATGGAGAATTGGAATAAAGTCTATAATTATTGTTTGGATTACTATTAATGGAATTGAGACTTTGGAATCATAACTAAAAATTTGGAATTCCCCAATTCCCTAGTAATCTGGAAGGTTTTGAACAAAATCTAAGTCTGATTCCCATTTAGAAACGAGGTTTGTCCCTCCACCCGTTATAAAAATTAATATATAATTATATATATATAATATATTATAATTATAATATTTTATTATAATATTAGTATAATTAATATTTGTATATCATATAATCATAATTATATATTTATAATATAATGTTTGTATAATTATATTTAATTATATAATTAATATTTAATTTAACTAGTTACAAACTTATAATAATGATATTATTAGTTATATGTATTATATAGTGTATATTAGTGTATGTAATATAATTGATATTATCAATTATACTAATAATTATACATGTTTACTAGTAGAACTTATTAATTAGTTATACTAAATTTACTAATACATTTAATTAGTGAAAATTTCTTATATCCCATTTCGAAAGAGTCAACGAACCAAACATCAACTATAGTAATGATATATATTCCTGGTACTAAATCAAACAGATGTATTGGAATGACTGACTCCATTCTAAACCTAGGATGAATGGTTCAAAATCCGAATCCGATTCCATGGTGTGAACCAAACACTACCTAATAATTCTTTCAACCATTCATGATGTTTGTCAAGTGTCATAACATATCATAACTTGAAAATTATTTTTCCCTAATGACAAGAGGCTATATGAGGTTTTTTTTTTTTTTTCATAAAGACAAGTTAGTTACTAGAAAGGTTATATGAGAAGAACCTACCAAGATTTACTTTGACAACATCCATGTAAGTATAGTTTCTTCTGCCCGATACTGGATCTGGGAATCGATAAAAATCTGCCAGAATAGTTGATGCAAACAATGTGATTAGAGAAAAGCTAATCAGAGCCATAGGTCCTGCAATCCAACCTAATTGAGAGATCGCCCACGGCAATGACAACACCCCTGAACCAATTACGGTAGTGATAATATGAGCACTCGCGGTATAAAATGTTCCTTCAGCATAAAAAAACAAGGGTTAATTAATTTCGGAGGTGAAATTAAGTTGCTATCCTTCTGGATATAAAATTCAATTCAAATATCCACCAAACCTGTTCGTTTTGGCCGCCCATCATCATCTGTTCCATTGATGTTGTCAGCGGGTGCTCTTCTCAAGTCATCCATGGCTACAAAACTAAAGTGGTGATCACTGAAAGAAAACCAAACCAACCAGCGATTCCTAGAGAGTAAATAATATAGGAAAGTGGATCTTCGTGTGTGATCGATTGAAAGAAAGCGAACCAGTACTAATTGGTGGAGAGTAAGTAAGAAAGTGGATTTTCATCCGCTTGATTGCTGACGACTAGGAGAGGGATGTAGACTTCCTGCCCTTGTCCTGGTGTTCTCCGGTATAGAGTAATGCGTGCAGAGTGGAATTCATGTGCAGTTCGTAATATGTGCATGCACGCCACTTTGTTCCTTATAACTATTTGAAAATACGGCACAGGCTATATTTACTTTGGAGTCCTCCATCAAAACACGGGCTCAACCATTGGACGTTATTGAGGATTGGCGACCAAAAGTTGAGGGCTAAAATGGCCTGTAATCTCATATCATGATTCAGCAGCTTGCGTAGTTTCCTTCACATGCAGTATAACAGTATACAGCATCCTTACTTTGCTAGACTTGTGTACGTTTGATACGTTGCAATTTTATCATTTATTTTATTATTAATTTTTTCTATTACCTGACCCGATTTGGATTAATTATTGGATTCTATTCACTTTTAGTATTTGGCATATATTTCAGGAAGTAAAACGAAAATACCATAATAAATGTTAATTTGATAATTATCAGGAAAGAATTCAAATAGCAGATAATCAATGACATTCTTGAAACAAGGAGATGCAAGACCTTTTTGATAATTTTGACCGAAGGCAACGACTAAAAAAGGGGAAAAGAAAGCAAACCTGGGGAGTCATGGAGAGGCTTCTTCCTCTCCGGGAGGAGAGCCGCCGCACAGAGCCAGACAGTAGCAATAGGCCATTAGAATAGGAACTATTAAATTGCAGAGAACCAGCACTATCTTTTTTTTAGCTTCACTTTGACTTTTCTTCCTTGCTTTTCATTGCTTTTCTCCACGCATGTCAGGTGGGAGCAATTTTTAGCTTTAGCTTGGACTTTTTCCTTCCTTGGCTTCTCGTGAGTTGTTTCTTTTCCTCCGTACGTTAGGTAAGGCAAAAACAATTAAGTACTTCTTGTAGCTTTTCTTTCTAGTCAGTGTTCTATCGAATTAAGTTTACCCATTTTCCAATCGATGGCCGCGACTTTCTCTGTAATTTTGTATTGGCTTAGTTCATCAAACATGAACTAATTTCACCACTCTAGTCAAAGAGTAATGAAGGCTCTGATTCGCCTAAAAATTGTGAGATCGTTTTAATTTAAACTTTTCTTTTTATTTATTGGTATCTGCATACTTTTTGATTGCTATGCTTATGATTGTTTAATTAATTTAACAAACAAACTCTAGCCTAACCGAGACGACTTTCGGTGGGCGGAATTATAAGGAACAAAGTCACGGGCATGCACATATTACGTACTGCACTTGTTGATAGGTTGCAATTTATTCATTTATTTTATTATTAATTTCTCCTATTACCTGACTTGATGTGGATTTATTTGCTGGATTCTACTCACTTTTAGTATTTGACGTTTATTTCAGGGAGTAGAATATAAATATGACAACAGATGCCAATTTTACAGAAAAAGAGTTCAGATGATAAAACTTGTTCCAGGGGCATTTTTGGCAAAGAAAATGTCACGCCTACTTTGGTAATTTCCGCAAAGAAATGACGGGCTGAAGGGTTTTGGTCCTGCGGATGTGCCGCCGAAAAAAAAAAAAAGGAACGGAAGCTTTTGGTCGAGAGGGCTAGGAGCCGCAGTTCTTGATTTTTCCGAAGATTGGTCGAGAGGGCTAGGAGCCGCAGTTCTTGATTTCGTAGCCGCAGTTCTTGATTTTTCCGAAGATTGGTCGAGAGGGCTAGGAGCCGCAGTTCTTGATTTTTCCGAAGATGATTTTCTTTTTGTGGCCTTTCTGACGGATTGGAGAAAAAATGAGCATTCTGAGCATTTTGACTTTTTGCTTGGACTTACTCTTAGCTTAAGAAACTTACGTATGTGAGAAAAAAGCATTTGTTAGCTTTGAGCTTTGACCTTTCTTTCTTCATTTTTGAATCCTGCGCATGGCAGGCATTAGCAATTGGTAGCTTTTGACTTTTCTTCGTGTAAAACACTCAGAGCTTTTCTTTCTTTCCTGGTATGTCGTCCGTAGTGAGGCAGAGGATCATTTCGTGTAACCTTGTTATCTCCTCCTGATTGGAACGGATTTTGCCAAATTTCAAGGGACATGGCCGCTGGTTCCTCTGCAATTTTGTATGGGTTTAGTTCATCAAACATGAACTAATTTTTTCCACTTAGTCAAGGGGCAACGGATGCTTTGATTCGCCTAAAAATTGTGAGATCGATTCAATTTAATCTTTTCCTTTTATTTATTGGTATTCGCATATTCCTTGATTGCTAAGCTTATGGTTATTTAATTAATTGGTTGTCTTGGATCCGGATAATTAATTGATTGGGTAATCTATTGTCAATTGGGACGTTAAATCCGTAATTGTTTAATTGTCTCAAAATAGTGATAACTGGCATGATTGGATTCGTGTCAGGGAAATACGCGGGCTAATCTAAAATAACCATGGTAGTGCGTTATTTGGTTAGAATAGGGCTCCTCTAATACGTAAGACAATTGGGAAATTGAATCTTACGGGTGTACTTAGGATTTTTTCTCAATTAGAGAAGTGATTAATGGGCGTACCTTAATCACCGACACAGTAAGGAGGGGTTGACTGCCATCGCTTGTTTGATAGTTATAACCTATTTATTGATAAATAATTGGAATTGCCTTTGTTTCGATGATCAATTAGGTGAACCATTGCTGAAGTTATTCCTTGGCTAGATCCTTAATTATTACTCATTAGATTTTAGTAAATTGTTATTTAATTTCTAGTTGGCTATTTTATTTTTATTATTTTACTTTTAGTTAAATTGTTTAAATTGCCACTCCTGATATAAAACATTCCCTTGTCACTGTGAATTTGGAAAGGAACAAGTATTCCCAGTCCCTGTGGATTCGACCCTGCTTACCACTATCTACAGAAATTTACTTTAGTTGAACAGGTTTTTATTATTGCACAAGCTTTGACAACCTGTCAACGTTTGTTAAGAACTTTATTTTTTATTCTTCTAGCTGAGCCTAGTTTTCAGATGTACATCTAAAGGGAGAAGAATATATCTGTATGTGGAGATGCTGGATTGCAGAAAGGAATCAATAGTCGAAAGTCTAATTGTTGTTAGACTTGAAGAAAGTAACGGGCGCTCTACATTCCAGTGATTTTTCACCCTATTTAGACATATTATTTGGAGTTAATTTAGAGTCTCACGTGTACTTCAGTCAAGGGAAGAACATCACAGTTCATAATCTGTTTTGACTCTTAAGACGCGGAATTTTCTCCATAGTAAAGGCTTGTTATCACTTTCATGCCTAAGATTTCTTTTTGCCATGCTGGGACTACGGGGTGCCGGTCTATGGTGCCTAAATATCTAAGCTAACGTGCAAAAATTGATTTTGGCAAGTGCTTTTGTCAATTGAGAAATTTACTGGAGACTCCGTTGCATGCTTGTCGTTGGTTTTAATAGACCCTGAAAATTTTCTCTGCTAGACTCCGGTCGGTGAAAGGCAATCATTAAAATAATTTGTCAAGACTTTGCTCTATTAAATTTTCTTTTTCTTTTGGGCTCAAAGTCATGCGCGACTAATTTTGTCATGATTCTCGTGCATATCAGAGAAACATAAACGACAATCCAGGAGAAATATTTTGCAAAACATAAATGATAATGAATACTAGTAGGAACCTGGACTTGAATTTTTGCCTTCCAAATTTGTGCATATTTGCTTCAAATGGTTTTGAACTAACTTGTATATATTTGCTATAAATGGTTTCGAACCAGCTTTGTAAGTTGGCCACTAAGAAAGGATTTATAATCCCCTTGAGTTATAGGTTGGGTGTTCAAGTTTCTATGTCTCTTAGGTATAAATCTTAATAGGAACAAGTAAATTAGAAAAAAAAAAACCATTATTATATGGGTTATTTTTAAGATTTAAAAATTTTTTGAAGTATTTTAAAAATTTTTAAATTAACAACTTAATATTATAAGAATTAATAATTTTAATTAACTTCTTTAAGATTTGCACTGTGTTTTAAGGCTGTAAATATTAGCCAGTGTGCAATATAATAGAAAATTACTTGTGTTTGTTATTGTGTCGCTACAAGGGTGAGCCCTACCTATTAGTTTTGGATAGATTTTAATCCATTATTGTAAACATTAATTCTTAAATCCTCCTTTTTAGACGAGTTCCATGCACGTTAAATTTTATTAACCTAGGTTATTTTTCCTATTGCTATATTTTTAATTGCATCTAATGTACTTAATAATTTCAGACAAAATCAAATCCATTAATTAGGAGTGCGGTGCTTCGATCATGATGATCAAGCTAAGGATCCTTTGCAAGTGTAGCCTTTTGGAATTAATTTATTTGGAGAATTAAAGAAATTAAGCGAGTGGAGCTGGTGGGATGTGTGGCAACGGCCTCAGCAAATTAATACAGTCCGGATTTGGAGGCATATGGGATTTGATGTGATTTGTCAAGAGACCATGCAAGACAAGCTTATGTTGGTTTTGGTTAAAATGTTCCTTCACTCACGGTATAAAATGTTCCTTCACTATAAAAAAAAAAAAAAAAAAAACCAAGGGTTAATTAACTTCGGAGGTTGAAATTAAGTCGCTGCCCTTCGGGATATAAAATTCAATTCAAATACCCACCAAACCTGTTCGTTTTGGGCGCCATCATCTCCGTTCCATTGGTACTGTCATGTCAGTGGCTACAAAACTTAAGTGGTGATCGCTGAAAGAAAACCAAACCATCCAGCGATTCCTAGAGCGTAAATATTAATAAGAGAGGAATGTGGATTTTCATGTGTGATCGTTTGGAAGAAAGCGAACGAAAGGGTTGTAGATTTCCTGCCTTTGTCCCGGTGTTCTCCAAAATAGAGTAGTGTGTGCAAAGTGCATTACAAGTGCAGTACGTAATATGTGCATGCCCGTGACTTTGTTCCTTATAATTCCGCCCACCGAAAGTCGTCTCGGTTAGGCTAGAGTTTGTTTGTTGTTCATCTGAAGTTCCCTCCCTCTCTTACAGACGTCAAATTGAAAACATCTAGGGTAGCTACGACTGCCTTGCACCTAGTGGTACGTGTGTGCAAATTTAACTAAATCAATATATATACATATATATATATATATATATATATATATATAGAGAAAGAGAGAGAGAGAGAGCGAAAGTAAGAAAAAGGTTGAGGAGGGACAAGGGAATTATTTTGTATTGTATTCATTGGGTGTTTAATATCAAAGCTAGAGGTGTCAAAAATAAATATGTAATTCATTGTGTTGTGTATTGTACTCGTTGTATTTGGACAGATTATAATTAGTTCAACTCATTTGTGTCCATTTAATAAGTGAGTCAAATGGATCAATTAGTTTACATCCATTTAATAAATGAGTATAGATATACTCAATCATCCATTTATGACTTGGTTGGAATTCTTCTTTCTCTTTTTTTTTCAGATGTTGTTTGATAAGAAATAATGATAATGCAAAAATTAGTAAGAGCTAATTAAACAAAATAAGATAATCGTAGAATTTAACATATTTACTTTTAACATGCCAATAAGATTAATTATCAAAAATCAGTAAGAGCCGAACACAATAAATAGTACATGCACGGGTTCACAACTAGTTTATAGTTGAAAGGGAGGGGGAGGGGGAGGGGGAGGGAGAGGAGGAGGGGAGCTTCTATTTTGTGTTGGATATTGCAAAAAGTTCCTTTGGATTTAGATCTGCTGTTTCAGTTGAGTGCATAAACTTGAAGAATTAGTTTCTAGTGAAGTAGTTTGTTGTAGAGAAAGAGAAGCAGTTGTATGACATGATCAGCACTTGTGTTTGAGTTATTAAAAAAAAAAAAACTTAGTTACTGGTTAAGTTAATCG